TAAATGTGTTGTATTTGCTGATGGTAAAAGTAAAATGAACTTTTTTGATCAGATAATTTAGATGGGTATAGTAAAGAAAGGACTACCTACAATCCCATTACTTAAGAAATATCCAGTTAGCATTTTGCAGTATAGCCTTTTTTTTTTTTAATTAAGTTACAGTTGACATATAACATATTAATTTCAGGTGTATAATAGAATGATTTGATATTTATTTAAAAGTATATCTTTTTAAAATTTATTAATTTGCTTTATTCATTTAACATATTATTTTACATCTTTTGTGTCTGTAAATATAGATCCATGTTGTCATTTTTTAAATTGCTGTATAGTATTCCATTAAGTAGATGCATGATAATCTATTTAATTGAGAAAATGGGCACTTTTGATCTTGTACAAATTTTTGTAGTTTTTTTATCAATAGTGCTATAAAAAAACAGATTAAGATGATATGCATACTAGCTTATTATTCCTTTTTTAATCTAAAATTCATTTCTCTCATTAGATATTAGTGTACATTGCCTGTTCAGAATCATTTTTACATGTGATTTTTTTATTGTCTTATTTTTTCATTTTGTGCTTTTTTTGTCCAAGAACTTTGATTTCTTAAGATTTTATTTTTTTTTAAACTTATCCAAATGGCCATATGCATCTGAATAATAGTAAGTTTAAGGGAGGTAAAATGAATTGCTTGTACTTCTATATAGTGTTTTCATTCGACTGCGTTTTGATTAATTCATGAGTCTTGCAGATTTTCATAATTAGGATCTTATGTTTATTGTTTTGCATTTTAGTGATTTGGATCCTATGCAGGCTCCTCATTGGTCTGTTAGAGTTCGAAAAGCTGATAATCCTCAGTGTTTGCTAGGTAAGATATATTTTCCTTTTCCTGAATCCATCAGTCTGCCTGTCTTCCAGATCAGGAACACCGAATGCATTTTTTTATACTTTATTTCACCTAGCAGAAAGTATTTTTTATTTTAATGGTTTTACATTTGTGACCTACATAATTAACACCATTAAAAAACAATCTTTGCTGACAGCAGTGACTACTTCTAGTTACTCATGAATAGCACTAGCAGGACTTCTTTCCTGTCTTAGTTTTAACCAATGTACACTTCAGAATTCTTTGATATTTTCTTATGCTCTAAGTTTTATTCTTGAAATGCATTATGTCACTCCCCTTTTTTCCTCCTGTGTCATAATCTGCAACTCCTATTCTAGTTATTGGATCCCTTTGCCTTCTGCAATCCATCCCTCTGGACCTGTGGTATATTATGGGAAGAACACTGAGTTTTGCAATCTGCTAGAGCCCTTCTGTAGAGTTGTACCACACACATAAACCTATTTTCTGTGAGAGGAAAAGAGGTGTAAATAATCTTGTACACCTCGTAGGGTTATTTGAAGAATCAGGTGAAATAACATCAACAGAAATACTTAGAAAAACATCAGTTGCTATTCAGATGGTATTATTTTATCCCATGTTATGTTTCCCTTCTCTTTTTTGTAGGTATCTCTTTCATGAAGTCTTCTGAATCCATCTCTTCAATGTGTCTTTCCATTTTTTTCTTTCATATTTAGTACACGTGAAAATATTTTCTCTATTTTTTTTTTCCTCGTTAATACAATTTTTAGTTTATTAGAGCCGATGTCTGAGTAGATATTTAGCCCTGGTTTCACAATAGAAATATCTTTTCATATTCTGAGAACAATTGGCACAAAGGCTATCTAAGGTACTTGAAGAACCTTCTCTGTGTTCATAGAATAGTTCTGAAAACAAAAAATTTGAAACAACACTTGAAAGTAGTAAAGAAAAATCAACACAACACTATAATCGTCAACAGTTATTCTTCCTCAGCACAAGAGAGGCCCACCAAATCTACAAATATCCGTGGAAACGGAGCAGTCATTTGGTCATTCTTGTGTATCGTTGTCCAGCATCAGAATGGCCTTCTCACTTTGGGGGAATCAGCCATCCTGGTGGGAGGTAACACCTTGCTTCCCTCTATGAAAACCTCAAAGGCCAGAAATGTGTCCTCCCTGACCCCTGGGAGGGGGGCCAGGGCTGGGCCATTCTGGGGATGCCGGCAAGCATGGAGATTGCANATATCCAGAGTTAAAATAAATTAGGCAAATGAGTAATGCCTTTCATAAATTATTTTCTTTATTTAAAAAAAATTATCAAAGACACATTGAGAAGTGAAAAGGATATGAATTAATCAGTAGGCAAGAACACCAACTTGACCTTACATGTTGGCAAAGTTTGGCTGCAAATTCTTGGTTTTTAAAGGACTTGACAACTAAATGAGAAGTTTTCATTATTGTAAGATAATCATAGCAAGAGTAAACCGTTTTCTGATAATTTTGTGATTTCTATCTAATGTGTGCTACTAAATAAAAGAATACAAGAATTCTTTGATTACGATGCTTAAGTAAACCATGTTCTCACCTTGAGATAGCACAAGTACATCACGGCTGATAATTATTTTCCTGCCATTTAGGGAATTTATTAAAATTTCTTTCCACATTAGCGGACTTAATGTTATCAGTTAATTAAAGCAAGATTTTAGTGTCAACTTTCATTATTTATCTTTGAAACTAAACTTTTAAAGCAAAACTGTTATTTAATGTTCTTTACTTTGTGACTTCAGCAAATTACTTCTAATTGGTAAAGAATAGAGGGGAAATAGTTGAAAGATTAAAGTGTTTCACTAAATGAAGGAAATTCAGGTTGTTGTAGATTCAGTTGCCAGTAAGAAAAAAAAGAAAGAAAGAAACACCTGTACTTCAAACCTGACTTGTTAAATTTCCTTCAGGGAAATTTTTTCATATAATGTTTTTTTATATTCTGAAGTTTTCCCTTGTTTAATGGCAGTGATTCTTTCTTTAAAGGTATGGATTGCGAGAGTTTGTGGTGATCGCCCCAGCTGCAAACAGCGAAGCTGTTCTCAGTGAATCTAAGTGCAATCTTCTTCTGAGTTCTGTGTCTATCGCTTTGGGAAACACTGGCTGGTAGGCAGACATTTTGAAAAACTTAAGACAATGAGTTAAAAACTTTAATTATATTTTATGAAGGAAAATGGTTACCAAATGATAGGTTTTTTATTATAATTAGGATTAGTACTTGTACATTATTATGTTGGAATATGTTATGTAAGGACAAACTCAGCAAAACCTTTAGGGGAGAGCATTTGTGAAGGGAAAGTTAATGAAATAATAAATATTTGAAATGAAGAGTAAATTGTACTATTTTCTTGCTTTGCTTCCAATTATTTAAATTTTATTACAAAATCTAATTTTAAAACTTGGAAGAGATCATTACCTTGTTTGACCTCTGCTGGGAACATACTTGTCAGGTGACTCAAATTTTTTGATGCTCTGTGCATGGTCTGCAAATGACTGTGAAAGTGCTGCAAGTATTGATTTTGGAGTTACAAATACATTTTGGTGAGTAGGCTAATTTGCATATGTTGAAATCTGTGAATAATGAGGGTCAACTATATCTTCAAATGATAATGTAAAAAATATTTCACCATGAATGTTGGTTTAATTTGTATTATTTAATACCTGTGACTCAGGTTTTTATTATGACTTTGGAAAGGCTTAATATGATATAACTCTTATTAAAGAAAATTTTCATTCTGTTTTTTTCTGACTTTCAGTTATTTTTAAAACAATCTTCTGACTAGTAAGTGCCACTAAATGATAGTTTCTTCAGTTTACTAGTATTAAGAGAAAAGGGATTAAGAGTGTCTTTGTTATAAGTCTGTGAAGCGTTCCCTGTTTAGTGCTTTTAAATATTTGAGATTAGTATAATGTGACAGTGGAAAATTTTGAGATTTAGGAGATTTTCAATGTTTAGTGAACTTACATTCTCTTTCTGTTTAATTATGTCTTACAGCCAGGTGCCACTCTTCGTACAAATTCATCACAAATGGCGGAGAATGTATGTGGGAGAATGTCAGGGTCCTGGTGTCCGAACTGATTTTGAAATGGTTCATCTTCGAAAAGTGCCAAATCAGTACACTCATTTATCAGGCCTGCTGGATATCTTCAAATCAAAGATTGTGAGTTGGCATTGATCAGTCCTACCTGGGATCTAGATAAAAATAGCAGTTAGGTAATTTGATTATAGAAGTATTTCTCTATAATACTGTTAATGTAATTGCGCAGAAGAAAGATGTAATTGACTATGTAAATTAGTCTGTTTAAAGAAACAAAGTATCCAATTAGATTTTTAGTGTATGGATGCTAAAGTGTAATTAAACTGATTTTGTTTGTTTAGTTTGTTA